ATGTCTTTAAAATAATAAAAACAATAAAAAGTAAAAAATAAAATATAAAAGGTGTTGTAAAATGTAACCTACTCAGCGCGTGGTTGAAGTGGGGAATCATCAACGAAATCCAACTACCCGGAAGAACTCACCCGCTATTCTACGGTTTCTTTAGCAATAAAGCCTCCTTATTCTTTCCTCAAAACCTCCGAGAGTCAGAAACCTAAAAAATCCCGACGATGGCTGATACAGAAACACCGCCGGACCCAAATCTGACCCTCGAATCGGAGTCCTTAGCTACCCCGCCCATGGATCCCTTGTTCTTCTCCGCGCCCGATTCAGTTCCTGATGGAGATCTAGGGTTTCTGCTCGACGATAACGGCGACTTTGACCTTGCCTTCGACGAATTCTACGACCTGTGCTTCCCTTCCTCGTCTGATGATTTCCTCATACCCGATTCGGGTTCTCCCCTGGGGAACTTCGGTGATATCGCTCCTGAATCAGGCAGTTCTGGGATTTCCGGCGGCCGTGGCTCCGCTGACGTTGATGGGTACCTGAAATCTTCGTCTCCGGAATCTGGCAGTTACGATCGTCCAGATTCCTCGCGGGTGTCTTCCCAGGGGTCTGGTGTTTCCCAGTCAATGAACGCGGCTTCACCGGATTCGGGAAATACGGTGGTTGAGCAGAAAATGAAATTGGGGGAAACCGTGAAAACCCGTGTTTCGAAGAGGAAAAAGGAAAATGAAGATCCTAACAGTAGTAAGTGTAGGATATCATCATCATTGGGCACTGAAAATGCCAATACAAATACATTTAGTGAAGAGGAAGAGAAGAAGAGGGCAAGGCTGATAAGGAACAGAGAGAGCGCACAGCTGTCCAGACAGCGGAAGAAACATTATGTGGAGGAACTGGAAGAGAAGGTTAGGAACATGCACTCTACTATAGCGGATTTGAATAATAAGATTGCTTATTTTATGGCGGAAAATGCTAGTTTGAGGCAGCAATTGGGTGGTGGTGTTGGTGCTGGAATGTGTCCACCACCTTCTATGTACCCGCCAATGGCACCCATGCCATACCCTTGGGTCCCCTATCCGCCCTATGTGGCGAAGCCGCAAGGGTCTCAGGTGCCATTGGTGCCTATTCCTAGGTTGAAGCCGCAGCAACTAGTCTCGGCTCCCAAGGCCAAAAAGACTGAGGGTAAAACTAAGAAGGTTGCTAGTGTTAGTTTTCTGGGTCTCTTGTTCTTTGTATTATTGTTTGGCGGATTGTTACCTATCATGAATGTGAAATATGGAGGCATAAGTGATATTATGAGTGATGGGTCAGGTTTTGTGGGTGATGGGTTTTATGATTCACATAGAGGGAGGGTTTTGCAAGTTAGTGGTCATCTAAATGTGTCTGATGAAAGTAGGGATATGGGATATTCTAGGGGAAAGTTAGATGTTATTCATAAGGTTCCAGGTGAGAGTGGCCGTGTTGTTGGATCAGAGGATAATATTGGACTTAAAGGAAGAGGGGTGTATAGTGTGCCTAGTTTAGATGAATATGGTAATCCAGAAAATGTTAGTGAGCCGCTTGCTGCTGCTTTATTTGTACGAAGGAACAATAAACTTGTGAAAATTGATGGCAACTTGATTATTCATTCTGTTCTGGCCAGTGAGAAATCCATGGCTTCCCATGAGGCTTCTGAAATAAAGAGTAAGACAGAGACTGGGTTGGTGGTTCCCAGGGATTTATCTCCAGCATTGGCAGTTCCTGATGCCAGAGGGGAAAAACACTCTCACGTTTACGGAAATCCTGCTGAAAGACAGAAGGCTCTTTCTTCTGGATCTGCTGATGTTTTGAAGAACCATTTCATGTCATCTGCAGCTGATGGTAGGATGCAGCAGTGGTTCCATGAAGGACTGGCAGGTAATTTTTGTGCTCATACATCATCAGTTGCTTTAGATTCTTTATACATATGAATTGGGTGCTATTCTGCATTTATATGTTCTATCAAATTTTATGCCAATTCTAAGTTCTAGCTTAGTTGTGGGCAACTCATGGAAACCAAATTATGTGCACAAATCATTTCTTCACTCTCTTGAAATAAATCAATTAGGAGTGAAGTGTTTTGACAGCTTCTAACTTCTGGTATTTCATTTGCCATTAGTTGTTTTGTCAGTTTGGAAAATGAAGCATAATTTTACTTTGACTTTGAGTTTTATTATTTTGTTCATTTCTTTGTAACGTTATCCTGAATAGTTATCGAAATTCTGCATTTTATTTCTTCTGTACCCAATGTAATCATTAAGTTCCTTACATTTACTCTGCTAAACATATGTGCTGAAGGAAGAATATTACTGGCTGTCCATGGAGTGTTCTGTACTGACAATGAAAGATGAAGGAACAATAACAGAGAATGCTTTCCTAGTGATACATGCATTCTGTAAATTCATTTTCCAAGTATCTAATGCTGAATTTTTAAACTAAAATCATGTAAATTACAGGTTAGATGTTACATATAAGGCTGAAGGGAGAGAGATAACTGAGAGTACAGTTGATGTTTTTCTTAAGTCATTTTAGATTGAAGTGGCGCCTACGATAGAATAGAAGTCTACAAAGGTTAAATTGCTTGATTGCTTGTGTTAATTTTTTTCTTGCTTTTTTCAGGGCCAATGTTGAGCTCCGGCATGTGCACTGAAATGTTTCAGTTTGATGTCTCGCCAAAGCCAGGATCCATTATTCCTGCTTCTTCTGTAGCCAATGTCTCAGCAGAACAGAGTCAGAATAAGAATAATACTCAGCTTAACAAGGGAAGGAGTAGGAGGACTCTCCGTGGTCTTCCAGTTCCCCTCCCTGGCTCCAACATGAACAACAGTGGACATGCAGGAAATTCTCAGAAAGAGAACTTTCAAGGTAATAGGACTGCCTCTTCTATGGTAGTTTCTGTGCTTGTTGATCCCAGAGAGGCTGGCGATGGAGATTCAGATAGAGTGATTACACCAAAGTCTCTTTCTAGGATCTTTGTTGTTGTGCTCATGGACAGTGTTAAGTATGTTACGTACTCCTGTGTGCTTCCAAGATCTAGCCCTCACCTGGTGACTGCTTGAGGATATAAGAATATCGTCTTGACTTATTAGTTACTAAGAGAACTACAATCAATTTTTATTTTATTTATTTTATTTTTTCGCCTCCAGTTTTGTATAGAATAGACTGCAGTTTGTAGGGCTTTTTATCCTTAATGTGTAATCCGAAAAGGGATGACATGATCTTATTCTAAAACTCATATCATCTAATAATACAAATCAATGATCCAAATAATCCTCTATTGCAAATAAATTAAACAATGTTACATCCAGCATCTATATTCACAGCGAACCTTACCACAGAAATGATTTTGTGATGAAAACTGCTGATCACCGCCTTCTTTCTCTTTTTCAGATAAAATTAAATCTTCATGTATTTAGAAAAATACTAGAGTATGTCATAGCAGAAAAATAACAGCTGCTACTAGAAAAGAGAAACTATAAAAACACAATGTAATAATTAATCTGGTCAAAGCTAATCCGATTAAAACTAGCTAAAGTTTTACAACAAAATCAAGCCCCCTTTTCCGCGCAACAGCATAGTAACCTTCTTGTTTAGTGATGGCTATACGAGGAAACAACATAAACAAGAATGGGTGCAAAACTTCTAGAGTTCAAAGGAATCAAGCATGGCCTTGAGAGTTTTCTGAGATGTTGGCCACTGTTTATCATTAGCACTAGCCACAAAAAGCACCACTGTGTTTCCCTTCGCTGTTGCTTTTGCAAGATTGTGGGAACCTGTCAGAGCAAATGTTGTCTCCAGCACATACTTGTAGTACTGCAAAACCCAAAGTGATCTCTTACTTCCTCTAATAAAAGATATAATTCCAGTTCAGAATAAAAAGTTCATCCACAAAAATGACAGTCTTTGTATCACAAAAAATGATCTCTCAGAAATTATAACCAAAATACAAGTGAGGCACCCTAACATTCATTGAGAATTGTTTAACGTTGTGCTGCTAACGTTATGATTTTCCGAAAATAAGCATCTAGATGTAAGAAACAGGGTTGCAAATATGTATTTGATTCATATCAAAAGGCAAAGGGAAAGTGTTGAAGGGGATTAATCATACCGTCTGTTCACCGCGTTTTTCAACTGATGTCTCCAAGAGTTCATCGGGATCATATGAATTTCCGGTGACGAAAGGACCAAGAGATGCAATCACCTTCTCAGGGCTCCCGATTTCTTCAATCGTGGCATTCGGTTTGTTAGTCAGGCGAATCAACGGGGACGCCACCACCTGTACTTTCCCCTGCTTTTCATCCTCAAATTTTACCTCCACCCACGGCTCCGCGCACTTTGGCTGGCAGTAATTTCCAGACAATATGTTAGCCACTCGTGTCTGCTTCCACGTTGGCGGTAGAATAAACTGGTAAGGCTGCACATTTCCTGCAAAAAACTAAACTTCAAGCATCATTAGCATATACAAAGCCCAAATTTCAATACCCAAATGTGGGTTCCATCCAGGTACCTGCGCGAAGAGCTGGGGTGTCTTTGGGGGTGGCTTGGAAGAGGACGAAAGAAGGGTCCGCCGGAGACGGGGGAAGAAAGGAGCCCACCTCCACCTCTCGTGCTTCGGAAATGGGAGTGTCTCTCAGCACAATCAGAGGTGAGATTGTGAGTCCCGTCAAGAATTCTCTCCGGAAAGGGAATTTCTTCGGACTTTGAAGCAGAGTTGGGTATGGTTTTATTTGGGTTTTAGTTCTGGTGAAGAGTGGAGGAAGAGGGGTGAGTGAAGCAGTCGCCATTTTCAGAGGGGAGGATTGAGACTCTGAGACATAGGCTTTTCCACTTATCCATTTCTGGATAATCCGATACGATAATGCAGTGTCTTTAATATCGGACCGAAATTCGACTGCCTTATTGCTTAAAGGTTATATCCCCGATTCAGTCCCTCAACTTTCATTTTTGAACTAAAACTACCCTTGAACTTCAAAAAGTACTAAAAAAATCCTTAAACTTCAATTTTCGAAACCAATTTCGTCCTTCCGTTGACGGAAGTGCCAGATGGCACGTTAAGTTGCCACGAAATCAATTTTTGTTTGAAATCTTTAATTACGTGGAAAATAACTTA